ACCAGCCACTCCTTGGAAGGAAGGTTGGGCAATCCTACTTCTGTAGTGATACTGCCTCAGAAACCCAAGGAGGGGTCGCTATGAGTCGGGGCCGACTTGATGGCACACAACAACAACAACATTGAAATTAGATACCTGTGGCTCAAATACAAGGTGGAAATAAGGTATGGATTAATAGTCTACACAATTTAGAGTAAGTTGAATTTTTTTAGGGAGATTTGGGAGGATATCAATAATCTCTGGTGGAGCAGTGGTGTTTGAGTTGGGTGTTAGACAGGAAACATCACTTCAGATGTTGTTATCTAAATTCATCTCATCTGGAGGATTGTTCACATATGCCAGCTCATTCTTTGGATTCGTAGCATTGAGTGTTTTGCTTTGTTTAATTTGAAGTTCCTTCTGACGTTACTCGGTTTCACTTTCTAGATGCTGATCTGCACATTGCAACCAATGAGGAGAAACATAAACCTCCTATCTTCCCAGACAGGGTGGTAAGTCAACTTTCCTTTTTTTTTTTTTTCATAGGCTGGATATATTAAATAAAACAAGAGTTGCCACATTCAAGACTAGAACATGTGAGATTCATTCAGACTGCTCAGCAAAGAGAGACAAAAGAGAAGTTAACTGATAGCAGTGAGCATTTTCAAAGAAGAGATTCCAATATAGAAGCATTTTACCATATTTTATTGAATTACTCTACTAGGTCTTTTTCCAACCACTAAGCACATTAAAAAACAAAACAAAACAAAAAAACACCTCACTGCCATCAAGTAGATTCCAAGTCATAGTGACCCCCCATTGGGTTTCCTACATCTTTACAGAAGCAGACTGCCTCAGCTTTCTTCTGTGGAGTGGCAGGTGGGTTGGAACCACTGATCTTTGGTTAACAGCCAAATGCCTTAACCACTGTACCACCAGAGCTCCTTAAGCACATAAATAGTCACCAAAAAAAAGGTGCAGGTGAGCAAAGCTCTTAAGAAGGCACCCATATATAACAGGCAGCTGTTATTCCTCCCCTACCATCAGTATGACCAAGACTGCCCTATATAACTGTGCCGTGGTACTATGGGACTGTGTAGGGCAGAAGTAGAAAACAACTGGTTTCTTTTCTTCCATCATCCCTTCAAAGCCACTCAGTGGGCTTTCTTCTCTGCTCCAGGATGAAGTCTCAGGCAGAATCCATAGCTTTTCCAGTCCCTCAGATGATAAAATATCTCCCCAATTACTGGTGGTCCTGAAAACAGTCTCTAAACGGATTCATCCAATGTTGTAGTCACACGACTCCAAGCTGTCATTCTAAGTTAAAACTTCTCCCCTCCAGTGACTTTGGGTCTGGATCAGCAGGTCGCCTGTATTGGGATGAAGGCCACGGGGAGGCTGAGATTCCTGACCCTTTCATGGGTGGGGCTCAGGAAGAGTGAGTCTAATGAAAAAGAGCACTCACCCATGTCTGAGCCCATCATGATTTGCTAGTGGTTGCTTCTGGGTGAGACAGTTTCCCAATGCTGATTTTTTAATCTTGTGGAAGACTTCCATGAGTTTCCCAGTGGGAGGCATCTCCAAATGCCATCTTCTGACAGTGGAGATGTCTTGACCCACAGCTCTTGAGTTTCCAGTCTCCAACTCCTCTACCAGGTCAGTTCAGACATTTGGGGCAGAGTTCCTTCCAAGATGGTGCCAGGCCAACTATCTCCCAAGGGTGGAGTTGGCCTACAGGAAAAAAGACAAAACCTTCATTGCTCTTGTTAATAAAACTGGATGTGGCTTGCTCTCACAGTACAGGCCACCACTGTCCTATTCTGCCTTCTTGGGTTCATAGCCACACCTTCATGCTTTTGAGTTTCCCAGGCAGGCCCTAGCCTCCTCAAATGCCAGGGGGCACAAAAAATAGCCTCCTGGTGGTCCTCTGGAAGTTCACCTGACACTAAGGGGGCATGTCTACCCGCCCATCAGGTCTAAAGTGTCTTGGGTAGTTATTCTCAGCTACACACACTCTCACACACTTACTTCTCTCTTTCTAAGTAAAAGTCATACAATTTTTGTGAACCAACCTGAAAATCAAAATGAAACTTACTGACATTGAGCCAAATCCGACTCATAGCAACCTTATAGGACAGAGTAGAACCACCCCATAGGGTTCCCTAGGCTATAAATCTTTAAGGAAGCAGACTGCCTAATCTTTGTCCCATGGAGTGGCTGGTGGGTTCAAAACACTGACCTTTTGGTCAGCATCCTAATGTTTTAACCACTGTGCCATCAGAGCACATTTGAACCAACCCGAAGAGTAGAAAGAAAAAAAAAAACACTGTTATGATTTGGAATTTTTACTTTTCTGTGGGAGATATTGCTGTTTTGATTTGATACTTGCTTTAGTCCCGAAGTTTGAAAAACATGACCCTATAATAATATCTAAGAGCAATGTGCAGATTAGGCAAATCTACACAAGTAGAAGGTAGATTAGTGGTTGCCTGAGGCAGGGGATAGGGATTAACTGTAATTGGGCATGAGGGATCTTATTGGGGTGATGGAGATGCTCTAAAACTGGACTGTATGTAAGGTTGCACAACATGATAAATTTACTAAAAAAGGCATTGAATGGTACACTTCTAAAGGGTAAACTGTCTGGTGTGTAAATTATACCTCAATAAAGTTTGTATTAAACAAATCTAAGAGCAGGAGATAATTTAGGACCAGAACTCATTCCATCTCACGTCTGGTAAGGAAGTCTTTGGGAAATGTGTTGGAAATTATCAATCAGGCAAATCAGTGGCCGATGGTTCCAGAAGCCTGTTTTGATTCTCAGCTACCCGAATGAACCTGGGATCTGAGAGGGAATCATGAAAGGCATGTTTTCCTTTGTTTTGTTCTTACCAGAGAATTCAGTGGAGGGCTTAGTTTCCTGAACAGAGGAAATCAAAATCAGCTGTATAGCCATTCTGGTCAGATTGCCGTTGAGGGAACTTTCCACTGTGTTTATCTTTGAAGAGAACCCACCTCACAGCTCATAAACAACAGTGTTTTGCATAACTAAAATTTCCAAAATGTCCGAGTCTCAGCTGAATAATAAACCATATACCCTGACAAAAGAAAAGTCAAGTCCAGTAAGAAAAAAAAAAAATGATCTTCAGAGTTCACAGAGTTCACTTCCGAGTTCTTTGTATGTGAACTTTTAATTGAAGTGTGACATGCACTTAGAGAAGTACACAAGCCTTAATTATTCAGCTTGATGGATTTTCACAAACTGATTACACCTGTATAACCAAATTCAGATTAAGAAACAGAATATCACTAGGACCTCCCAAAGAGAACCCAAACCAATCCCACTGCCATTGAGTAGAAGCTGACTCATAGCAACCCTCTAAGAAGGAGTAGAAGTGCCGCATCGTTTACAAGGCTGTAAATCTTTACAGAAACAGAATGCCTCATCATTCTCCCATGGAGCAGCTGATGGGTTCAAACCACCAACAAATTGGTTAGCGGCCTAATGCTTAAACCACTGTGCCACCAGAGCTCCTTAGAACATCAAAAGCTCCCTCATATTCCCTTTTAGTCGTGCGATCCCACCAAGAGTAATCACTGCCCTAACGTATCACATCATAGAGAAACTGATTATTTTTGACTTTTATATAAACAGAACCATAAAGTATGTAGAATTTTATTGTCCATCTTGTTCAATTTATGACATTTGTCTGTTTCTTATTATTAGTTGTAGTCTATTCTCGTTGCTGTTGAGCATGCTCTTATGTGAATATACCACTGTGTTAATTTCCTCTGCTGCTATAACAAAGTGACACAACCTTAGTATCTCAAAGAAACACAAATTTATTATCTTATAGTTCCAG